TGGTAACGCGCCCCGCCTTCTCATTCACAACTCTAAGCACAGCGTAGCTGAGGGTGGTCTTTTTGCGTCGGTTCAATGGAGGTTTTGACGACGGTGCTTGGGGGTTTTTGCATCGGTTCACCGGGGGTTTTTGCGCCTGTAGGATCGCTGCAGGTTGCGTCAAACATGTGCCTGCAAGAATCAACTGCCTCACTTGCAGGCGAGCGCGAATCAACCGATCGGCGCTACAGCTCGAGTGCAGGGTGAAGAGCCGTGCGCCAGCATTGCCACCAACACAGTGGACCACGCACAGTGGGATGCTGCGTCTTGGTCGCGAAGCAATAGGAGATCACTGAGCAGCGTGGTGAGTGCTGCGCGTGGGATGCGTTAAGAACAGTGGGAGCTGTGGGTGCCAAGAAAACAAAGCGGCAAGGAGCAGCAGGCCGAGGCCAGCAGAGAAGAGGCTGAAACGGGGGAAAAAATGGATAAGAAAAGGAAAAAAGGAGGAAGCGGAAAAGAGCAACGGTGGCTAAAAAGGAAGGAAAAACAGGAAGAGCACAATGAGGAGCAGGACAGGTGGAGGAGGGAGGAGGAGGAGGAGCAGGAGGAGGAGGAGCAGGAGGAGGAGGAGGAGCGCGAGCAGGAGGAGGAGGGAGGAGGAGGAGGAGGAGTCCACTAGTTTCTCCCTCCTAGCCTGTCGCAGAGAACACTCCAGTAAACCATCATTGTCGTTCTCCCGTATCCGAAACAATAACTAAACCCCTCTGAGCCGTTGCAAAAACTCCTTGAATTGCCCGTCGCAAAAACCCCTTAGTACTTCACCGTATCAAAAAGCCGCTGTTACCAACGCAAAAAACCCGAAACCCCTCGTTTCTTTATTGGTTCATCGGACTCTCGGGCCATCGGTCCTCCAATGTTGAATCGGTTTTTTGAGAGGCCTCAATAACTGTTTGGACTTGAACACAATTCACCTCCGAAGGCACTTGGGTGATACAAAGAAGGTAATCACGAAACGCACGCGCAAGAAAACAACCAAAACCACTTCTGACGCAAGCAAAGGACCAGTCATCCAAATGCCGATCCATCCAAAGCTCTCACTGCCCTCACAGCCAGCCCCGGACCACAAGTGCAGGTGGTTCTTGTGCGAAGTTCGTTGTTGATGCCAAGGTGCAATATATCAGTGTTTCAGCGTTGCTGCAGTTGGAGCAGTGGTCTTGAGGACGATTTGCTTCAAAATTGGACAATCCAGAAACATCAGTTTCTGCTCTGACAGGTCTGGACAAATTTTCATTGACTCACTCACCGTTCATGTGTTTCAGCCACAACCACAAAGTTTGCCGCAGCACAGCGTCAAGGTGAAACACACCTGTAAGACAGTTTGTCTATGATTGGGACAGCCCGCAGCAGAATGATGAACGCAAATGCAGCACAGGAAATGCTGTGGCGCAAATGTTTTTGGCCGACCATGTATTTTGGTGGAACAACAATGACTGACGATTAAAGTTCGATTCCGCACGTTTCCATGCACCCAGTTTGATGCCGATATTTCCGACACCATCAACATATCATAGAATGATGGCCACATCCGGCAATAATTAGCTCATTAGTGGGCTCATGGTCTTGCAATCTCTGCAGGCATGTTGTTACGAACGTTTTGACTTGCAAATTCTCCCTCCATACACATTTAGTGTTGTTGGATTGTTTGTTCTTGTTGTATTTTTTTGAAGTTGCTTTATGTTGCATCAACATGAACATCAGCCTCGAAGGCATTCGCTTGAACTCACCCGTTGGTGTAGAGAACCAGAAAAACCCTTTCATGTTTGGCATTTGCTCTTTGAGGTTGGTCGCAATGTATATATATATATATATATTCTAAGAAGTGCACGGTTTTGGCGATCGGACCGCCGCCAGACATGAGCTACACAGCAGAAGAGGTGTACGGCGTTGCCAGCTGCACTGTTTAATGCTGCGATGGAAGTCAATGTAATGTGCATTTTTCGTTTATAGTTGTCATGGTTCAGCATGGTTAAAGACTTCAATCGAGTTGGCCTGTACCGCCCTAGTTGGTTGTTTGGACAATGAATGTACACTAATCACTAGATCATTTGCGTATTAGCTTGGTTTTGATTTTGAGGTGGGCCGCACCTTTGTAAGCTTTTAGTGAAATACTCGTCAACCTTTCTCAGCTTTGAGCAGGTCAATACTCTCGTAGTCAAGCTGGAAAAGAATGTGGCCCGCCTTGAGCTTGTGTGATGCCTTCATGATGGGTGGACTGAAACTTCTCTTGATTAGGCAAGAAGAGAGAGAACAATGGAATAGCCTTTGAGGGACAACAACTTTCAGTTGCGCTGAAAACTTTCACGTTTCAAGAAACCTTAAAATCAATTCACTTTGCTTAGTAACTGAGAAGGATCAGTTGTTTACGGGCTGACCCTGAGGTCAAATCGCTACTGTGGATTCTGCCGTGAAGGGCGTAGCGTTTGGTGCACCCAGAGACTTGAGAGGAATTGGGAAAGCCTTTGAGACCTGAAAGAGGGCTTGGCAATTAGTCCGGTTGGTTGGAAATGGTTGGACAGTTGAATACCGACAGCGCGACGGCATCGAAAGTGGCTCGTGATGGTTCAGGGCTGAGCGGGACTTGCTGAGCACCGCGGAAGCCACCAGAGACTTGCTCTTGAAGGCTGTTTGGGGCCTCAGGTGGAGAGGGAAGAGTGAGAGGCGGATAAGAAGCAGAGCAGGTAAGACAAATTGTCACATTTCTAAGTGTCCGACAGTGTCCGATGATGTCTGTTGCAGTGCTGGAAGTTCACAATGGCCTGCACCCCTAGAGGTAGGCGAGCGTTATTTCAACTCCCATCGAGAAGCGGAGCAACATTCTGATTCTATTGGGTCGACCCCCCCGAGACAAATCAAAAACGTGTTGAACATTTTGGCGCTCAGGTCAAGGGTGAGAAGGAGTACCTGGACCGTCTGGCAAGCAATCAAGAACATGTTTGTTTTTGCACGTCATCCGTTTTTGATTCGGGGACTTTCCAAATCTTTGAGGAAATTGGTCACCAAACCTGTGCCAGGACAAAGTTTTTGGTGGCAGCTGCGAGCACATCGGCAGACTACGGCTTTGCTTAGACCCTGTGAAGTGCCATCCCTCCTGGCCTGCTGTGGTTCTGGGACTCCCCCTCAACAGAGCCGAGAGTCCTCCTTCGACCAGCTAGATCTTGCAGGGTCAGAGACGTTGGGTTGGTTGACCTTCAGCTGAAATTCTGAAAGGCGGCTTGAGAGATGCATGTGGAGCGAGCCACCGTCAAGCAAAGACAATGCATTGGTGAAATGCTCTGATCAACCTAGAACAGTATCTATTGTCTATTATATAGACCGCAGGTCGCAGGGCCGTTCTACTTCGGTGACGCACCTCAACCACAAAGTTCAGCCCGACCAAAGAGTTCAGCATGACCAATTTGCTCAGAAGTTGGCTTTCTAGAAGCCAACTTTAAGTGGATGCCATTGTTCAACTTGAGTCTTTTTGCCAAAAGCAGATCGACGGTTGAGAGTCGGGGCCGATGCAATGGGGCGATGCCGACGTCGGGACTGCAGCTTGGAGGACAACAATTATATAGCCTTATGGCTACTCTTTTCCCATGGCTACTCAAGAAACAAGGGCTGTCAGAGTCATATCCATTTGCAGTTTTCCAACGTATTTTTAGTGAGTCATTGGAATCATTGGATTTGCTCCGCAGGAGTTCATCATTTCAAGCCTTCAGCTAACGATTTCCTGTAACTTTCAAGACGCTGAATAGGAGATCGGACCAGATGCTTGGACCCGGGTCTCTTCGCAATAAAATCGGGAACGGGTGCCAAAACACCACCTTGCAATTTTGAAAAGACGCAGTGACATAGAACTCCTTTGACATAATATACGTAATCATATGTGCAAGGTACTATTCAGTATCACTAGTTACTTTTTTCAGCCTCCAAGCATGTTTCCCGGTAAGGCTTGATGCACACCACCGACTGTGCAGTGGCTGTCAGGTATGCGCTACTTCAGAAAGCCAGGCCAGGGTGGAGCAGCAAGGATTTACTCAAGGCCGGAAGACGAAAACTGATGAAACCGATGACTGAAGTCAGTCAGGCTTGGGAGACTGTGTGTCATGATACCTTAGTTAAAGATGGACCATGGAGGATTCACTGCTTCTAAGTGTCACCAGAAATTCAACGATTCAGGCCTTTGTTTGCTTGATAGGATTCCGTCAGCGTCAGGAATTCTTGACACGTACGCTGTCGGCTGTGAGGTTTATCAGAAGTTGCAGAAGGTGTCCATCACAGAGCCTTTGGCACTTGAGTCGTGTAGCTGGGTGGCTGGACGTGGCTGGATGTGGTCATGAAGTGAATTAGAGGTGCTTCTGAATACTGCAGCCTTCATGTTCTTCCACGTAACAATAGGGTAAGTGGGCTGATCTCCTGTAGTGTTGCTGGAGGTTTTGAGCGCTTAACTTCAACAAACCCGAAGTCAGCAAAATGGTCTCTGCATGAAAGGCAAATGAAACTTGGCTGCAAGGGCACAGCAGCCTGGTCCATACCGAGAAGAAGAAGCAGAAGAAGAAGGAAGAAGAAGCAGAAGAAGAAGAAGAAAAAGAAGAAGAAGAAGAAGAAGAAGAAGCAGACGAAGAGGAAGAAGAGGAAGATGAAGACGAGGACGAAGAAGAGGAAGAAGAAGAAGGCTTCTAAAGTCCTGCTCAGAGTTCTTATTGTTATTACTATTACTATTCTTTTTAAACAAACCACAATTTGGTTGCTTAGGATGGAGAATCTCTGGCACGAGCTGTCTCTGAAGGACGGCCATTTGTGTTGGACGTCAAACCCAGCCTTACAAATCGCAAGAAGCCGAATGAGACTCGAGTGGGGTTCATGCAGTTTTGTCAAAGAAAGCCAGTGTCGGAGCCAGGAAGGTTTTTTTTGTGAAGGCACTACAAGGAAGAAAGAGTGGTGTGGTGTTTCAATGGCAAAGAAGCAGAGACTCGCAGACTGGACTACTGAATCCATTGAACTGGAATAGTGGTTTCATGCGGTTCCAGTTCGTTGCCACATTGTGGTGGGAGTGCTAGAGGATCCTTAAACCAAGTCCTCGCGGCGGCGGGGGAGCGGAAGTTGAAGCCTTCCACACTCCAACTGCTGAGGTGTGGGACTCAGACTCGATTGACCACTCTAAGGTGGAGGTACTAGCGGTTAGGGTGATGTTTTCCAAGCTGATGGGATGAAAGAGGGGACACGTTGGACTTTGAACAACTGCTGGCGTCTTCAATGGTCTAACAACAGAGAGGATTTTGATGGTATTTACTTGAAGTGCATCTTCCGCGAATGCGAAACCAACTTGCAAGCCGTCCTCGTCTCTTTTTGCAAGGAACTGGTAGCCGGACTGACTATGATTATGTTAGGTAGTGGACTATGTTCGCTTGCAGTGTCTTCCCTGGCTTATAAGTTGAGCCTGTCAACCAATTTGTCAAATGCGCTGCCCAGAAATGCTTGTTCCCACTGTGAACTCAGAGCGACGCGCTGTGCTATGTTGAGTGATGGGGGGTCAAACTTGTTTGCCAATGTTACTTGTAGCAAGAAGCTACTAGGTGTAGGCCATCCCTACTAGGTTGGAGGCCATTACTACTAGGTGGAGGCCACCATCGCTATTAGGTTGGAGGCCATTGCTTCTAGGTTGTTGGATGCCATCGCTATTGGGTTGGAGCCTCCACTACTAGGTGGAGGCCATCTATTAGGTTGGAGACTATCGCTATTAGGTTGGAGGCCATTAGATGCCATTAGTACTAGGAACAAGAAGCTACTAGAGGACGGCTGAGGACAGCCGATCTTTTGTCAGTGAGGCTCGCCAGCCGAGACCCCACACGGGGACACCGGGAGGCCATGTTGAGTGTCGATCGCGTGAATGCAGGAGTGGAGGGAGAAGCGGGACCACAGTAGTTCATCCCTCTTCAAACGGTTTAACATAGTGGTTGTTTTTTTCCTAGAAATACTGTTGAATGCGCAGCATCCAAGACATGGCCCTGGTGAGAATGTCAAGTACACTTTGTGAGTCTACCCAAAGCAGAGAAGTTACAAATTTGACTCCGCAAAACCACTTCTTTGTTCACTTTTGACTTGGTTCTGGATCAAGTGGAGTAGTTAGAGGAAGATTAGCTGAATGCTCAATGTATGCCGTATGCCCCTTTGGATCGCCGAAAGACATGATGTGGGAACGTTTTGGTGGTAGTCTAAAATATCATAGGCGCATGTTCGTCGCATGAGGCAGTGCGGGTTGAGCCGCTTCAGCCCAAGCGGTGCTTCTGCGGAAGCTGCATCAGGTGGCGTTTTTGCAAAGCAATCTGAGGTGGTTTGTTTGATAGGAAACGAACCATGTCCTAGTTCCATACATGTTCAGATGGTAGCGATGATTGCAAACACTTTCACATCGGATGCTGAATCTGATCTCCACCTCAAGCTTCAAAAGATTTGGGGTGCAACTGCAGAGCTTTCTCTGCTGACCCACGCCTTTTCTGCGGCACTGGGCTTCCATGGAATCTGTGAGGATTCAGCGAGAAGGGTATTGGTCGTGAGCTGGGGAAAGACTGAACGAGCTTCGGCGTAAAGGGCCCAACCAGATGGGCAACTTTCCTGCCGATGTTGATCATTCTGGTTGTGAACTGTAAGTTCTGCTTGAGTTAGAAAGTCCTTCAGAAAGCTTTCTTTCCACTTTCGGTTTTCCAGTTTCGCCTTTGCTTCTGAAAATTGCTGAAAAACGGGGTCGATGACGCCACGAAGGAAATTGACTTTGATTTTTGTATTTTTGTCCAACTCCTCCACCACAGACACAGGACATTACTTAAATGCAGTAAATTGACATGGCATTTGAAGCATGTGTGTTCGATTCTTTTTGCTCCATAGCCCGTCTTGGTTGCCCAAAGTCTTGCTCAGCGCCGCACGAGCCAGGGTACCATTGTGTAAGCCGCGAGGCCCCAGCTCGCAGCTCCTGAAGCTGCCGTGCCTGGACACAAATGGAAGTGAACGCTTTCTTTCTTGGTCTAGATTGAAAGCAAAGCCTTTCTTGTAGCTATTGATGTTTCGAGCTAGTTACGTGATGTCTTCCAGCCTTTTCTGCCTTTGACAGACAAAGGTTTGCTTCATGATCTTCCGTTTTGGTCAATCAGCTTCGAGCAAAATTCTAGAACACATTTAGCTGTTTTCCCTCTGTACCCATTCAGGAGTGTTGGGTGCAGTCTGCCACCCCTGATGCCATCTAAACGCCGTGCCGCTTGTCTGTATTGAGGGTGACATCTGCTTTTCAGCAGCACTGCGCCAACGCGTCCTGTATGAAACTAGACAAAAATCGAGACATCATTCCTGCTGAAACAATTCGCCGTCCTGATTGCGACACTCTGATGAGGTGATGGTGCCCCTTCCTCGCATTAAGTCTGAGCCATGTTTTGGCCATCTAAAGAGGAGATCGCACGGGTTGGGACATGTTGTGAAGACACAATGCACTTGCTCGCCCCACTGTTGGACAAGTTTGTCCAGATCTTCACGCAGGAGATCTGCAGGTGAGCACCACAAAGGAAGAAATGGACTTCAAAGCAGCAACTCTGTGGGTTCCTTGACCTAAAGCAGTGTCATTGGCGTTGCCTGTTTGCGGAATTGGCACAAGTTGGTGGGAGACTGTTGGAACTCTGGGAATCCAAGCTCTTGTGGTTGCTATTTTGGGCTCACCAATCAGATGCTGAAGAGAAACATCAGCGTATCAGCACCCAGTTGCAGTTCATGATTGCCAGTTCTTCTTCCATAAGAAGGTCTGGATCTCTTGCTCAAGCACTGTGAAGCATGACCAAAGAGAGGGAGAGAGAAAGTGAAAGGGTGAAAGACCGTATGCCACTGGACCTCTCATTGCCTCTCAACAGGCCTCCTGTGCACCATCAATGGCTTTTCAACAAGCCGTCCGAACAGGCTAAAGGTCAGGTGCTTCTCGTTTGGGTGTTGAGAGAGGATCCACAAATGAACTCATCTCCACCAGGTCCACTGATTTGGTTGCAACATGTTACAACCGACGACCCATCTCAAGCCAAGGCCATTTGCGGGTTCCAGCCCTCCCGGCTTTGGTGGAACCGCGAGACGGGGGGCTTAGATACTGAGCTTATGGCATCAAACTCTACTTTTTGTGATGGAGGGAGTTGTCACATGGTTCTCGGTGCCATCATGCGGCCGCGGCCTACTTGTTTTGATGCAAGGCTTTTGGCTCAGATTGGAGCTTTGATTTTGCCGTCTCCGCTTTGGCCTTCGTAGCAGAATGGTGCAGCCCTTCAAGACGGAGTTCCTGGACAAAATTCATGCGACTTGGTTTCACCAATATCCCCTCAGGGAGCGAAAAAACACCCTTGAGTTCGCTGGGAAATGGTCCTAAAGAGCGAGCCGTTCTCAAGTTGTGCTTGAGCGCATGGGCATAGGGGCGCCGCAGAAAAAGTCACCCTAAAGAGCTTCCTATGGACCTGATTGCCTCAGGGTTATTATGGGAGTTGTGTGGGCAACTCTGTCCTGGTTGCGACACACACATATATATATATATAGTGTTTTGTGTATATAAGTGGTGAAGAGTATTCTTGCAAGTAATAGTATCTTTTCAGGGAGTTTAATGAAGAAACTTCAAACCAATGCACAAATAAGATACACACACGGATACAATTCATCCGCGCCGGTGATGTGTTGGGCGCGGGACTTGTTGGGAAGGCTTTTCCAGTGGGGCGTGGAAATCGTGGTTGTGAAAAGCACTGTGAGGGCTGTTTCAGGTGAGTAAGATGAAAGTTGATAAGAACGACACAAGCGTGAAGGGCAGCGATGTGTAGTCATGGCAAAGTAGCTTTATGGTTGGCATGCAAGGTGCGAATGATGCGAGGGAGAGCTTGACAGTACCTCAAGGGCTTGAACACTGCTTGATAAGCCTTACGTAGCCGCTCCGGATGGTAGGCAATGTGTGGCCACACTTGACAGGATACAGTAGACGGAAACAATAGCGTGGGTGCGCTTGTCCGTTTTCTTATCGTCAGACAGTACTGGTAGCGTCTTGTAGAAAGAAGCTACAATGCAGAAGCAGGGCGAAGAGTTGCGTCTTGCAGTTGGGTGTTTTTGCGTTATGCAGGGCACATGAAGAACCTTGTGGGCTTGACAATCCCACTACAAACAAAGTCAAGCTGCAAGCACATGTCATGCGCGCATGGTGAACCAGCACATTGCATGGGATGCTCTACAATACGCTGATTGTGTTTCCAAACTTCTACTGACTGTAGTCTGAAGCTTTCTTGACAAATGGGATGTGCCAAGGTGGTGGAGGGCGACGTTGTCAAGACCCTTGCCATCACCATGAAGAACGGAACAGTTGATGCTGTCTTTGAAGGCCCTGTGAAACGTTTGAGAAGGCAGCCAGCAGCTAGCAGCTAGCACCTCCTAAGTTAGAAGCACCCAGAAGCACGAGGAAGGCCTTTCTATGATTTCTGCCCTGTGAAGGCAGTGAAGGGCTGAAGCGCAGCAACTCGGAGCCGGACTTCCACAGGTGCGACGTTGGAACCCAACTTGGCGTGTGGGGATTTGTGAGCCCAAAGAGCCTCCACGTCTGTGACGCTTCAAACCTTTTCAAGCTGAATTGCAAAGGATGACAAAGCACTA